TCATCAACCCGTCAGCCGGAGTAAATCATCTCGGCTGGAACCTCGCAGTTGAGCAAATCATCAACCCGTCAGCCGGAGTAAATCATCTCGGCTGGAACCTCGCAGTTGAGCAAATCATCAACCCGTCAGCCGGAGTAAATCATCTCGGCTGGAACCTCGCAGTTGAGCAAATCATCAACCCGTCAGCCGGAGTAAATCATCTCGGCTGGAACCTCGCAGTTGAGCAAATCATCAACCCGTCAGCCGGAGTAAATCATCTCGGCTGGAACCTCGCAGTTGAGCAAATCATCAACCCGTCAGCCGGAGTAAATCATCTCGGCTGGAACCTCGCAGTTGAGCAAATCATCAACCCGTCAGCCGGAGTAAATCATCTCGGCTGGAACCTCGCAGTTGAGCAAATCATCAACCCGTCAGCCGGAGTAAATCATCTCGGCTGGAACCTCGCAGTTGAGCAAATCATCAACCCGTCAGCCGGAGTAAATCATCTCGGCTGGAACCTCGCAGTTGAGCAAATCATCAACCCGTCAGCCGGAGTAAATCATCTCGGCTGGAACCTCGCAGTTGAGCAAATCATCAACCCGTCAGCCGGAGTAAATCATCTCGGCTGGAACCTCGCAGTTGAGCAAATCATCAACCCGTCAGCCGGAGTAAATCATCTCGGCTGGAACCTCGCAGTTGAGCAAATCATCAACCCGTCAGCCGGAGTAAATCATCTCGGCTGGAACCTCGCAGTTGAGCAAATCATCAACCCGTCAGCCGGAGTAAATCATCTCGGCTGGAACCTCGCAGTTGAGCAAATCATCAACCCGTCAGCCGGAGTAAATCATCTCGGCTGGAACCTCGCAGTTGAGCAAATCATCAACCCGTCAGCCGGAGTAAATCATCTCGGCTGGAACCTCGCAGTTGAGCAAATCATCAACCCGTCAGCCGGAGTAAATCATCTCGGCTGGAACCTCGCAGTTGAGCAAATCATCAACCCGTCAGCCGGAGTAAATCATCTCGGCTGGAACCTCGCAGTTGAGCAAATCATCAACCCGTCAGCCGGAGTAAATCATCTCGGCTGGAACCTCGCAGTTGAGCAAATCATCAACCCGTCAGCCGGAGTAAATCATCTCGGCTGGAACCTCGCAGTTGAGCAAATCATCAACCCGTCAGCCGGAGTAAATCATCTCGGCTGGAACCTCGCAGTTGAGCAAATCATCAACCCGTCAGCCGGAGTAAATCATCTCGGCTGGAACCTCGCAGTTGAGCAAATCATCAACCCGTCAGCCGGAGTAAATCATCTCGGCTGGAACCTCGCAGTTGAGCAAATCATCAACCCGTCAGCCGGAGTCCTTGATCGAAGCCGTCGCCGGGATGTCTTGGCCCCGGTGCTTCAAATGTGGGCGCCAGGCCGGCACTGGGGCGGGGGCGTCTGTTGGGTGCTCGGTGGTAAGCTCGGTGACTAGCTCGGCGGACGGGTCTGCCCGAGCTCTTTTTCCGGCACGTCGTGCAGAGGGTTCTCGGCTGGATTGCCCGGCGGATTGGGAGGCAAGGGCGACCACAGCGCTGCTGGATTGACCAGCAGCTGGCGACCGGGTTACAACGCTCGGCAGCTTGGCGGATGTGGCGGGGAGAAGATTCTTGATTCTGCTGCGTTTGGCCATCTCTTGTTCCTCGGTCAGGCGGATGAGTGGAACGTCTGGAAGGGTAGGATCTGGAGGTGGCGAAGGAGCTCGGAGGAAGTCAGTTACTCTACTCCGGCGCGGAGCGGAATACCTGTAGGTCGGGGTGTAGCCGAGTAAGTCGTTGCAATCTCGGTGGGGATACCGGAGCACGGTCCGAATTGCCTCAACGTTTGGAAATTGATAGTTGGCTTGTAAGGCTTGGATTGCTGCAAAAGAAACAGGAAACCGGTTAGTTACAAGGTAAAACGTTAAGCTAAACCGAGCAAGTTTGAATGACTTACAGGAAGAACCGAAGTCCTTGTTTATGAACCAGCCCGGCACCTCGGCTGTTTCGTAATTGCCCGACACCCAGAAAAAATCATCGTCGTGAAGATCTTTATCCGGGGTGCCGGTCACAATTTTTTCCTTGCCCGGTCTAATCTTCAAGTAATATGCTAGGCCGTCACCGGTGTGGCCCATTGTGTATTGCCTTAATATCTCGGCTAGACCTAAGTGGGTGCCTAGTCGATTGTTCAGTTCGTGAACGCCGTTGATTATTCTATAGGTATTGGTTGACACTTGTGTGGGTGCCAGCCCGGTGCGACGAAGGAACTCGGTTATAAGAGGATTGAGCGGGAAACGGAGACCCCCTTCGACAATTGAGAGCACGGTGAAGGGGCATTGATCAAGTCTGCCCCAGGGTGTGGTCTCTTCTTCTGCCAGTTCGAGATGAACATCGGCCGGGATGCCGTAGTCCTCTCTGAAAGCAGCTAATGCGGCCGGAGTATCCACTAGGAAGCGGAATTTTCCCATTGGTGGCCGGCCTAGTGTATCCCGGCTGAGAGGTTTGGCACTGGTTATTGGATACTTCTCGGTCCTGAGAGCCTCAGGAATGACAGTGGTCCCCTTGGACTCTGCAGGAAAAGGATGGTAAGTGTTAGGTTTGGGCGTGGTCGCGCAAAAGGAGCTGGATTTTAGCTTGGTCATTATGAGTGCCAAACCACCTCGGTTGTCTACTCTATCTAAGGAGCCTGGTCGCCCAAGCAGACCAGATGTTAGCCCGGTTGAGCGACAAAGTCCTTTTGGTATCTCGGTTTGTGCCGGGGTTGCGACAAACATGTTGTTTGCCCGGTTTGATTGGTTTTTTGGATCAAAATAAGACCGAGAGCCCGATTCGCCCCAGTTCTTCAGGAAGACGAAGAACACCAAGAACAGTAGGAGGTTTGAGACGTTTTCTATGGCCTATGCCCTAAGGACTACGTTTTTGTGCCCTAATGTGTGCAATATGAAGGAAAATAGCAACAAAATGAGGGTGGAATAACTTACCAGTGAAGGACAGGGTCGTGTCCCTCGAACACGAAGAATGGCAGTCAAGTTTGAAGAGAAGGCTTGAGCTTCAGAATCGTCAGAAATGGAAGTAGCAGTAGGAAGAAATGAAATGATGGGGGTCGTGTATATGTAAGCATGAGACCGCCCAAATTCAAATTCTGACACAGACGGCGGGTGGGCTGCTCGATGACCAATGGCAGCCCGCCACGTGTCCCTATTTATGGCGACGTCAGGACTGAAGCGACGGGTTGAAGAGGCGAAGAGCCAGCCGAGCTACTTTTGGAGAAAAGATGTCAGCCGGCGACGGGTTGAAGAGTCGAAGAGACAACCGAGGTGTTTTCGAAGGAACAGATGTCAGCCGAGGAATATAACCGGGCAAGTTTGCAGACAAGTGTGTTAACCAGCTCGGTCGAGGTAAGGCGTCTTGAAGACCGGAGAAGTGTTATCTCGGTCGAAGTGAGTAATCCCAGTCACGCTTTCGCGGACGGAATTAAGGGGCAATTGAGAGGGTGATTTATGATCTGGAGTTGGGCCGAGATATTGACCGAGCAGGTTGAAAGCCCAGCAGTGCATTGGGCCGGGATGATCGACTGTTCGCCCAGAGAAGGGCTGTCAGAACTTGGGCCGGGCAGAGTTCGGGCTGTGTGTGCCACCCCGGACCGAACAGAAACTGCTCGGCAAGGCAGTGCTCAGTCGGACCATGATGCTCGCTCCGAGGATGGCCGAATCCAGATAGGCCGAGTGACCGGCGCCCGGGAAGGCACGGACATCCGAGGAAGTTATTTGACCGGCAGAAAGGCCGACCCCAGGAGGCACCTCGGGCTAGGCTTTGCCGAGATGCCGCCTAGCCCGGTCCTCCTCAGTCTTGGCCAGTGAAGTGCTAGGGTATGGAGCACAGCATGGCACAACAACGAATAGAGCAGCTCGGCTGCCGAGCTCCAGCTGTGATGACAGGCAGTTGGAGTTAGGTGATGAATGGCATGGTTTATGCTGACAGATGGGATAGTAGAGCCACGTGTCAGGAGATGACTGGGAGTGGATATGGGGCTCAGAAGGTATATAAGCACGTCTGCGCCCCCCATACGAGAAAAAACGAACATATCTGTAAGGACTTCTTACACTCAAACACTCTCTCCCTTCTCTCTATCCATCCTAAGGTGTGTGCTAACTTAACCGTCGGAGGGTTTTTCCGGCCACACACCGCCAGGCAGCTCACCATTACTTGCTCGCAAGTGAACGGACATCGACGGAGCTCGGAAGAAAGGAATACGGGCTTGCCGGAATATTTGCTCCCCGTACAATATCCATGTACATATATATATATATATATATATCTTTGCTTATATATATCTCTGTGTATATGTATTTAGGGCTGTGTATATATGTATCTGTGTATGTTGAGTAAGAAATTGGGTTGAAAGTTTGGATTTAGGGTTGTTGATTTGGGAATTGAGTTTGGGCTTTTGATTTGTTTATCAGATTAGCCTTTTGATTTGGAGTTTTACCTTGCCTACAACAAGCTCGATGAAATTCCTCAACCAAATCAAAAAGTCCTAACTCGACTCAGACTGTCTTTCTTTCCCTCTCACATTATGATCATTGATTCCAGCTATAATTATTTGTAGGGAATTATAGTTTTAATTTTTTTGATAGGTTGTGAAAAACCAATCCATTCATCTCATTGTTAACATAGATAGACTTGGGTTATCTGAGCATATATGTAAGCATAGACAGACAGGTACCTCATTTTTAGTATTGAAGTTTACATATATGTAACTTAGAGGTTTATCTGAGAATCAAACCAGAAGATTGAAATTAAGATATATTTAGGTCATCCCAAACAACCCATAAGTTCAAGTTTGACACATTTATGTAATTGAATTAGCTTGAGCTAAGCTCAAATTTTTTAAATATTTGACCAATCAAGCTCGAGGCCGACTGATTCTTTATGAACCCAGCTCAAACACTTAGAAACGAAATGAAGCTCTACTAAACTCACTTCATTTGAGGTACTAATTCCAACACTTAAACAATAACAAACACCATGCACTAGATTTCAAAGCCAAAATTACAACAAAATCAACAACAACTAAAACCAAAAAAAGAAATTTCTTGCCCAATTCATCTACTTGATAGATAACAAAAGGGAAAACATCAATCAAAAACCAATAAAAGATAAAGAAGTGCAGAGAAGAACTAAATTACTAATCCACCATTGGCACGAATGACTTGGCCATTGATCCACTCCCCAGCATCACCAGCCAAGAAGCCAACAAGCTGAGATACATCATTGGGCTCACCAAGTCGACCCAGAGGGCAAGCATCAGCCAACCTCTTCACCGTCTCCTCTGTTTTTCCCGCGTAAAACAGCTCCGTCGCAACAGGTCCAGGCGCAACGCAATTGGCAGTTATTCCGGTACCCTTCAACTCCTTCGCCACGATCTTCGTCATCGTCCCCACCGCCGCCTTGGACGCCGCATAAGCCCCATACCCGGGCAACAAATTCCCAACAAGCGATGACGTTATCATTATGATCCTCCCTCCTCCGCCTCTCTTCAATCGATCAGCAGCCTCTCTGCAGCACAGGAACGCCCCTTTGGTGTTGACATTGAATGTCGAATCCCAATCCTCTACTGTTGTATTGACTACTGATGGGTATTTTGGATCTAGAATTCCTGCGCAGTTGACGAGGATGTGAGGTGGGCAATTGAATTCTTGCTCTGCTCGATCGAACAGGGCTTTGACTTGATCTGGGTCGGAGACATCTGCTCGGACTGCTATGGCTACGGGGTGAGACGAGGAATTGAGCTCGGATGCTAAGAGGTCGGCTTGGTTGGCGTTTGGAAAGTAATTGATGACGAGTTTAGCGCCGAGGGATCGGAGATGGAGTGTGATGGCACGGCCGATGCCTGTAGATCCTCCGGTTACTATTGCGACACGGCCATCCAGTGGAAGAGATTGAGATGGAGGGTTTTCCATGGTCATGGTTGAGTTGCAGTACGAGTGGAAATATTTGAAAAGAGAAATATATTGGGTTTTTCTGGGTTTTTAGGCCCCGTTTGTTTTTGGTACGGCGAGGGGGATTGAGATTAGGATAGTTGTGGATCTCATTTAATATTTATTTTGTTCTAAAATAATGGGTTTTTTTGGAAAATTTAACTTTTTTTAGTAGTATAATTATTGCATTTGAAAAAGGTTTATTTTCCAAAATTACCTATTTGATAGTACATTTTTTAAGAATGTCAATGTTATAATTGTACTTTTTATATTGTTTATTAATTTAAAAGAAGGGCAAAACAGGAAATTTATATTATTTTCGTACTTGATTTTTGAAGATGGACTAATGTTTTGGGACAATGAAAAATGGAATAAGAGACTAATATTTTGAGACGGAGGGAGTATGTTTTTTTTACAGAGTTGAGAAAGGGACTGTTAAGCCGAAAGGCTTAGGATAGGCCTTACAGATGGGATTTGGATGGGCCTCCAGGAATTGGTATTAGAAAAATAGTCTAGCAGAGTATAAATCTTTTATTTTTATTTATTTTTTACATGTCGGATATTTTTTTTGAACATTAATGTTTAATATTTTGTATTTTTTGTTAAGTAAAAATTATTATTTTATCTATTTTATTTTTTCTGAAAATTTTTTATTTTATTTTTATTTTTTAAAATTTTTTTACATGTTCGGCATTTTTTTTAAAACATTAATGTTTAATGTTTTTGTATTTTTTTTATTTGTTTTATTATTTTATATTTATTTTATATAAAAATAATTTAACAATTCCTACACCAATAACTATCATCAAAACAAACACAATTTTACTTAATTCCCTTATTATGAATCTCCTCCATACTACTTCTGAAAATAAACGTAACCAAAAAAACGTATCTTTCTTTATATTTTCTTTGATCCTCAAGAACAAAAAAATGTTGAAGCTAACCAAACCCTGATTTTAATTTATGCTCTACCAATTGAGTTCTTTTGGAACCTGACTTTACTGATTAACGCCTCGTTCGAAATATACTATTTTAATAATTTTTAATTTTTTATAAAGTAATATAAAAAAATAAAAAGAGTGATATGATAATTTAAAGTGATTTTTTAATTTTTTTAACTAAAATATATAATTGACAAATCAGACTTAAGGTCTTGTTTCGCAACTCACTGTTTTAGTCTAAAAGTCAAAAAGTTATTGAAAATTTAAAAAGTTAACAATCTATATCAAAAAATCAAAGATTTTCTTTTTTTCTTTACTTTTTATACATATTTTTTTATAAAAAAATCAAAAAATCATTCCAAATATACTAATTTTTTTATCTCATATTTTAATTAAAAAATCAAAAAATTACTAAAATAATCTGTTCCCAAACGAAATCTAAGTTATAAGGAGTGCCCTTTCATGATTTTAAGTTTAAGTTTTTTTATGTATAAATAATTTTATGGGAACGGTTCAAACGGAGTTTTGTTCTGACTTTAAATATATCTCTTATTAATATGTAGTGGGATTAGTCTCTAAATTAATCGATTCATTAGATTGAATACCAAATTATAAAAATTGAAGTGACAAGAAAAAATAGGTGAAGGAGATTAAGGTTTGTTTTAGAAACTTAATTAAAAGTCACTTTTTGACTTTTAATTTATTTTGAGTTATATTATCTTTCTATTTTTTTATATGTTTTTTTAAAAAAATCAAAAAATTAACTTTTAACTTATTTTTCAAAACAATCCTAAATAGAATTTATTTTTTATATTATTTTATGTAATTAATTATATGATTGATTACTAATATTGGAACGAGTAGAAAATGATTCAACGTTAGGAATGGCAACGGGCCGGGCCGGGGCCGGGGATTACACTCCCCCGTCCCCGATCCTCGAAGATGAAAAAATTCCCGTCCCCGCCCCCGATCCCCGACGGGAGAACCCATCACCCTCTCCTCCCCGTCCCTTAACGGGGATCAGGTTTTCCCGACCCCGATATATCCTTGAGCTTTTTTTTTTTTTAATTTTGTTCAACAAATCACTGAACAATAATCTTAACTTGAGAGATCTAAAAAAAATACAGATCAATATATAATCTAAAAAAAATCACTGAACAATAATCTAAAAAAAATTAATAGAGATCAATATATAAATTAATCTAAACAACACAGATCAATATATAATTAACACAGATTTTAAAAAAATATATATTATGAATACAGATCAACAACATCATACCAGGGAGAGAAAGAGAGAGAGAGAGATAACAGATCTGAGTACACTTCCATCGTCTGACACAGATCTGAGCGACGCCAATGACTAGGCTCTATGGCGAGATAAACGGTGGTTGTGGCGGTGGGTTCGGTGGTGGTGAGAGAGAGACGGACCGTCTGGTTAAGAATAGAGAGAGATGAAGTGGAGAGAAAGAAAGAGAAACCGAGGCGAGGAGAAGAGAGAAAGAGGGGGTTTAGGGCCAGCGGCAGTGGTGGTGATATCGCCGTGTCGGTGACTGTGAGAGTGAGAGAGTTGAGAGAGAGAAAAGAACGAGAGAGTTGAGAGACAGTAAGAGAGTTGAGAACGAGAGAGTGAAGAGAGTGAGTGAGTTGAGAGAGAGAAGATAAGAGTCAGAGAGTGAGATAGTGAGAGTCAGTGAGAGAGTTGAGAGAGAGAAGATAAGATCAAAGAGTGAAAGATTTATTTATATAATACAATTAAGAGGTATAGAGGCAGGGATACATCGGGGAAATTTCGGGACGGGACCGGGGCCGAGGAGTCTATCCTCGTCCCTGGCTCGAAAATTATCGAGGATGTATTTTTCAATACCAGCCCTGGCCCTATGGAGAATAATTTTCAGGAAAAACCCTATTTATCGGGACGGGACGGTCCGGGTCCCCGTTGGACCGGGTTCATATTGCCATCCCTAACCTTGAGTGATTCAAGATTTTTGATATTTGTGGAAAATGCCCTATCATTGCTGAAAATAATGGGTTGGACAAGAGGTTTGGGGGAGGGTAATTATGTCCTTGTGCTTGTGCAAAGGTCAGCCAATAAGAGTGCCATGTCAGATTGGCTTGAGAATCTGTTCAAAAAAATAATTGGCTTGAGAATAAAGTATTAGAACAAGAGGTTTGGGCGAGGGCAATGACGTCCTTTCACTAGTCATGCAAAGCTCTGCCAATACGTGGGAAAAATTATTTCTCAGAACAATTATAAATCATCATGATCCTTGCTTGTTTTTTAATTATTTAATATAAAATTGTAAATTTTATTTTTTTCACCAATTATAACGCGTTTGTTTAAACACATTATCATATTTATTTGTTATTTCTCAATCCCTCTTTATGAATCTCAGTCTCTCTACTAATTATAACACATTTGAAATATCACATAACCATATTCTAGAATCACCAAATAACTTCTCAACGAATCGTATTCAGAGCTTAGATATGGAGTCAAATCCTAACAGTTGCACTTCCTGACTTAAATGATGTATGCCTTGCATAATCAATGCACACAACTGAGATTTGCCCCTCATCCTACTTCAGCTAAACCGACATTAGATAGTTGATTCCAAAGTCAGCAGGGATAGACTTGAAGAATTTGTTCGTTAACCAAAAAAATTTGCCAACTAAAGCCAATTCATTGACTTGTTGACTTATTTAGGTTACATCATCTCTTTATTTTTTTACATATTTTTTTTAAAAAAATTAATAAACTAGCTTTTTTTTTTCTAATTCTCAAAACAAGTCTAAATAATAATAATACTGTGTTTAATTGTTGATATTCAAACAATTAATCAATTATCAAACCAAATCTCTGTTTTTATTAAACTGATAAAATAAATTCAACCCTAATATGCAATCACTTTTAGTTACATCAACAAACAAAATTGAAAATTTTGATTTGATAGATTTTTCCTCAAACCTAACTAAATTAAACCACATACACCCCTAGTGACAATGGGGACAAATGAACGGTACTAATACAATAAAATGAAAACATATTAACTGAAATGGTAGATTAGCGAAACAATTACATGTGAACTACATTGAGTGAGAGCATTCTAAACCCTAATTGGGATCCAAAAGTCGTTATGCATCATGATAATAAAAAACTCATTGTTACGATCTCATATCAGTTGACATAACGCTTGATCATGTACGTATATACCTTTTGAACACCTTTACTTTATAAGTCAATTTTCAAGGGTGAATCCTCTCCAAGTATTTCGTATCAAATATCATTAAAAAAATTAACTGCAAACTCAAGAAATTACATAGCTAAGTCCGCAAGATGCACTAAAAATAAATCAAGGTCTTACTCAGAACTTCTGAGAGAACAATAACATGACAAATGGTCAAAGAAAAGGCAATGAAAAAGAAGAATAGCATCGATCGATGAGTACAATTTATTGAAATCTAAGAGTTGGTATTTCTCTCAGACAACAACGTATGCTTTGTTGAAAGCAACAAAGAAAATGCAAGCCTTTGCAGCAATAACATATGCCATTGGTACCTATTGATTGAGAAAACAAGATTGGGGGTGAACCAAAATCAGTTTTCTGCAGATTTGGGAGTGAACCAAATCAGTTTTCTGCAGATTTGGGAGGACCCTTCCACCTGAAGTTGTCTGCATAAGCCCTAACCTGCAATCAGAATAACAGAGTAGAGGATCCTGCGTTACAGGAGCTATCAAGAAGATTAAGGCAACCATCAGAAATAAATAAACACTCAAGCAATCATAAATCTTATATTCACAACAAAACTGCACTAGCGGGGGAGGTAGGAGAAATCATGTATTCCTACCTGACTGTTATTTCGGAAAGGCGTTATATATTGCTAAATAAGGATAATTATATCCATACAGAATTTTCATATAAAATTTAAGACCAGAATGGTGTGGCAATGGCATTCTTGCAACTATGAACCATTGTGATGGGTATTTTGACTTCTAATGGATGGACATAAATAAGATACATCATTTTGTATACAAATTCTGTTTATGTAGCATTACCCTGCTAAAGAATCACTTCGGTATGCCTCAACAAGGTCTACAGGGCCAATCGAGAATCAATCCTTGTCAGGTTTAATACAAGGAAATTCAAATTGTCAGGCAGCCACAAACGGGCAGAGAATACTTAATGAGAAATGTCAGAGAAAAAGTTTTGGTCTGGTATTGTAAACAGACTGATAATCTGAGTGGATATTGCTAAATCTGATTTCAAATACTACTTGGCAAGTCCAGGAGAAAATGCCAGTTAATGCCTGATGGTCTAGAATCTAGTAAAATACAATTCTGAACTTTGAGGCATATTCAATTATTAAAACCATCTAACACCACCATCTCGGTGCAAAAAATTGAAATTAAAGAAACAGTGGGGCTAATCTACCACAAATACTTCCATCAAAATGAAGTCAGTAAAAGGAGAAACTCAAACCTTCAACAGTGGCGTCTGGTGCTTCTTAACCTGCAATAAGAGTGCATATATAGCTATTAGAAACCAAAGATAAAAGGAATAATATATACAATATAACAATTCCAAGTGGGTCCTTCATATAATAATGAAAATATTAACATTAATTGGAGAATGTGCAACTAGCCAACCATAACATTAATTGTTAACAACTCCGCCGGTCTCAAGCCCGAATTAAGGAAGAAGGTTGTGTGTTAGGTAGCTGACAGCCAACACGTAAAAAAAGCCGCTCGAATCCCTTATGAAAATAAATCCTACTTTGAATCGTTTAAATGCTAAGTCGTTCCCCTCAAGTGACGCGTTGCGCCTGCCTCCGGGTGTTCGAAAAGTGAGCAAGGGGCGTCGCATCGACGCCTGGGTGCGGTAAAAAATGGGCAAAGGTTCCCGTGTTTTTCTGGACGAGCGCGGGTAAAGAAGTTAGTCCAAGACTATAGGTTTAGGGTAACCACTTGGAACATAGGAACCTTAACTGGTAAGACGATGGAATTGGTAGATGTTATGATTAGGAGGAGAGTTAGTATAGCTTGCATACAAGAAACTAAGTGGACGGGAGAGAAAGTTAGGAAAATTGAGGATACCGATTTCAAACTATATTATAGTGGTAAGGACAGACGCAGAAATGAGGTAGGAATCATAATTGCCAAGGGTCTTGTGGAAAGTGTAGTGGCGGTCACTAGGAAAAGGGATAGGAATATGCTAGTTAAACTAGTTATTGGAGAGAATATAGTGAACATTATTAGCGCATACACCCCTCAAGTAGGGTTAGATGATCGGGAATTTTTGGAGCAAATGGATGAGATCTTACCGGAGATACCCTTAGGAGAGAACTTGGTTATAGGTGGAGATTTTAATGGCCATGTGGGCATAGATAAACTAGGTTATGAAAGGATGCATGGTGGATACGGTTTTGGCGACAAAAATGAGGCTGGAGAGCGTATCTTAGATTTTGCGTTGGCTTCTGACCTAATGGTAGCCAATACTATGTATAAGAAAAGGGAGGAGCATTTGATAACCTTTAAGAGTGGATTAGTTAAGAGCCAAATAGATTACTTCTTAGTGAGAAAAGTGGACCGCCTAAAATGCAATGATTGTAAGGTGATCCCTGGAGAGAGTATGGTCTCTCAACATAGGATTTTGGTACTAGATTTATGTTTTAAAGGGCAATACCAAGCTAGGAAGGATGGTGGGCGTCGTAGGACGAGATGGTAGGACCTAAAAGGGGATAAAATAGATAAGGAAGGTACTTGGGACTTAGAAGATGATGCTAACACTATGTGGAACTCGATGGCCAATTGTATGAGGAGAATCTCAAGGGACGTGCTTGGAGAGTCGAAAGAAACGGGACCCAGCTCTAGAGAAACTTGGTGGTGGAGAGAAGAGGTTCAAGTGGTAGTTAAGGCACAAAAAGAGTGCTTTAAAAAGTGACAGAAGGATAAAACTGAGGAAAACCTTGAGAGCTATAGATTGGCTAATAAGGAGGTCAAGAAAGTAGTGAGAGAGACTAAGTTGAAAGCTTATGATGACCTATACACTAGACTAGCTAGGAAGGAGGGAGAGAAGTGGATATACAAACTTGCTAAGATACGGGAGAGGAAAACAAGAGATTTTAATCAAGTAAAGTGCGTCAAAAGTGAGGATTCTAAGGTATTGGTGAAGGATGATGAGATTAATGCAAGATGGAAGAATTATTTTGAGAAACTATCAAATGAGGAACATGGAGGTACGACAATAGGGGAAGAAATAGCCAGTAATACGATAAATCAAGACTATAGATTCTATTGCAGGATTAGGAACTTTGAAGTGGAGATTGCACTTAAGAAGATGAAATCAAATAAGGCTTTAGGACCCGATGATATTCCTATTGAAGCCTGGAAGTGTTTGGGTAAAAAGGGAGTTGCTTGGTTGACTAGGTTGTTTAGCAAAATTTTGTTGACTAGGAACATGCCAGATGAGTGGAGGAAAAGTATTTTAGTGCCAATCTATAAGAATAAAGGTGATGTCCAGAATTGTAATAGCAATAGAGGAATCAAGCTGATGTGTCATATAATGAAAGTGTGGGAGAGGGTGATGAAACGCCGATTGCGAGACATAACAGAGGTGTCAGAGAATCAATTTGGGTTTATGCCTGGTAGGTCAACAATGGAGGCGATCTATCTTTTGAGGAGAGTAATAGAAAAGTATAAAAAAAAAGAAAAGAGACATTCATTTGGTGTTTATCGACCTAAAGAAAGTATATGATAGAGTGCCCCGGGATATAATATAGCGGGTGTTAGAGAAGAAAGGAGTGACAAAAGGTTACATTGACGTGATTAGGGACATGTATGAAGGGGTGGTGACCACTATTAGATCGCCAGCTGAAAAGACAAATGAATTTTCCATCACTATAGGGTTACACCAAGGATCTACCTTAAGTCCTTATCTTTTTGCTTTAGTTATAGATGAGTTGACGATAAATATTTAAGATGACGTGCCATGGTGTAAGCTTTTTGCAGATGATATTGTGCTAGTGGATGAGACTAGAGAAGGAGTTAACACAAAGTTGGAGATTTGGAGAAAAGCACTTGAATCTAAAGGATTTCGGATAAGGAAAACTAAGACAGAGTACATGGAGTGTAAATTTAGTAACAGTAACAATGAAAGCAGAGGAAAAGTGAAGATTAAGAACCAAGAACTGCCTAAAAGTGAATATTTTCGCTATTTAGGGTCGATTATCACAACAGCGGGAGAGATTGATGCAGATGTGGCCCATAGGATTAAGGTGGGATTGTGTAAGTGGAGAAGTGCGTCTGGGATATTGTGTGATAAACGAATACTCACTAGACTAAAAAGTAAGTTTTATAAAACGGCTATTAGATCAGCTATGTTGTATGGAACGGAGTGTTGGGCAACCAAGAAACAACATGTAGATAAGATGAGTGTGGCTGAGATAAGGATGCTAAGGTAGATGTGTGGTAAGACTAGACAAGACAGGATTAGGAATGAGTGTATTCGGGAATGGGTAGGAGTAGCACCGATAGAAGATAAATTGAGAGAGAATCGTTTGAGATGGTTTGGTTATATTCAACGGAGACCAACAGAGATAGTAGTGAAGAGATGCGATGCTGTAACGGTAGATGGAAGTGTTAGGGGACGGGGTAGGCTTAGATTAACGTTGACTAGCGTTATAAATAGAGATATGAATCTACTTAATTTGACTAATGAAATGGCTTTTGATAGGGTCGCGTGGAGAAGAAGGATTCATGTAGGCGACCCCATTTGATGGGACTTAAGACTTGGTTTGGTTTTGGTTTTTTGGTTTTTTTTTGGTCTGAACCTAGGAATCAAAGATTATGATTTTTCAAATCACAATGTGCAACTGCTTATGTGAAGTTAAACTTAAAACTAGTAAAAGATGGCAGACATAAACCATAACCTAGGAATGTTTTTCTTTCATTGTCTGAACCTAGGAATGAATTTTCAAATTACAAGGTGTAAGTGCTTAAAAAAAATTTAAGCTTAAAACAAGTAAAAGATAGCAGACATAAACATAGAAGATGTCCCTAGCAGTGCTTAGCTAGAGATCGGAGATAAATAAATAATAAATACTGAGAATTTCCTGATGGTACATTTTTTATTTGTTTACTCATTTCCAGTCATAAAAATCCAAGCCGTATGACATTCTAAGATTTCCATTCCTTCCTGTCTTCCATGAAAATTAAAACAAAATAATAACTAATTTGTTGAAAAAAGGTGAATTTTACATCCTTAATGTGGATGCATTTACACAAAATATTTGATAGAATGTCTTGATCATGACTATACTCACTACAATCTGAGATGAGATCGTGCCAACGAAATACCCAAAGAAAAGGTAAAAAAGAAAAAGGAGGAACAATTTGTAAGATACCAGAACTATCACCAGGGCAAATCAAGATCAGTTGGTTTACTAAAAGTAAAATTGCATTTAAGTTTTCTGAACACCACCTCGCGAATCAAAGGTGCACTTACGAGGGTGCACAAAGAATTTACACTAAAAAAACTAAGTACAGTGAATATAAGAATACCATCATACAAACACCCCATACCGTGTATTCCCAACCATGTTTCTCAGCAAATGCTTTGGCAGCTTCTTCACTGTCAAAACTGAGTGCAGCATCGCCAACATTGGCATATGGGTCCCCTGTGGATGTCCAACCCATCAATGGATTTTCCCATCTACAAAGATATGTCAGTCGAAAGAAAATATTTATCATATGACCATAGTGAAAATCCAGGGATTAAGGATTACTTCTGCACTTCTTATTAAGATGCCCGCTAATGTTATTCGTAATGTGAAAATCAACAAGAAGACCACAGGGATATTAAAAAAAATTCCAATTCCCAAGGATCTGAAGTTAGTGACAGCAATACATTGTCAGTGAGAAGTAGGAAGATGCTAACATTTCATGCTTGAATAACTGGTAATTATCACACATAGTTCAAGAACCATTCACAATTTCTTGAAATATTCACAACTAATTTAGAACAAAATTATGGATTAATTCCAGTTTGGGAACTATGATGAATGAGTTTAATATACAAACCAAACCAAACTATGTCTTGTATTCCAATAAGGTGAGGTTGGCTACATAAATCCTTTTTCGTCATTCTGCACTGTCAACAACTCTATGCTCAAGTCTAATACACAAGAATGATTAAAAATGCTTTTGACATTTTCCAGTATCACTACTGAGTGATATTGCAGAACCACATCAGAAACGAAGTCTAAGGTGTCAAAATCATTCATGATGACAACTGTGAGAATATATTGTGTATTTTCTATTATTTTCCAAATTAGGCATGATTGTAGTTGTACAAATTAGAGTCCTATTAGAGGTATGATTGTGTTAGAGTCTTATTAGAGGTATAATTGTTTTCTCCCTTTTGATATAGGATTTAGGGCTATATAATCTAAGGTCTGATTGTAATCATTCACACATTGAATATATGAGATACAGAAAGCTGTTCAGAAATCTTACATGGTATCAGAGCCGTTCTCTGATCCGAAACCCTAGAGCCATCTCCAATGCTCTCTTGTTCGTGATTGTGCCTCGTCTCAGTCAACCCATCTGGATTTCCTCTCTGTTTGTGCTATTTGGTAGTTGCACCCATCCAACGGTTCGACCCATCTAGTCATCGGCTCCTCACAGCTCATCTTCTCTCTCTGGCTTTCCTTCGTGGTCGACCCATCTGGTTTCTAGCTCTTAAAACCCTAACAGAAGTCACAATGGTTGTGCGACCTGAGATTTCACATCTCTGTCTTCTTCATTGCGACTGTCGCGATCTAATTCTGACCATCATCAGACTCACGATTTTTTGTTTCTGGTTCGCGATTGCTGCTATACTCTGTCTCTGACAAGTTGCGAACTACCTCTGGCCCTCGTCTTCGGGTTTCCTCTTTGGTTTAGCTTTGGATCTGGTTCTCAGCTTTGGTGGTGTACTTGCCAAGTATTCTTGGTTTGCTGGTTATTTCATTCTGACCCCGAGATTTTCTGATAATTACACTCTGACCCTGGTATTCTTGGTTTGCTGGTTATTTCATTCTGACCTCAAGATTTTCTGATAATTACACTCTGACCCTGGTATTTTCTGGTTATTGCATTGTGACCCTTATATTTTCTGGTTATTGCATTTTTTGCCCCGAGGTTAGATTACTGCATTTTGGTCCCTTCTCTGTGTTTGTCATGTTGATCGCATCTTTTCATTAGCTCCAGTCTTTTGTCCCGCCCAAGAAGGGGCTTCTAGCCTCAGATGAGTGTGCTTTCTGCCATCAGATGGGACATTGGAAGTATCAGTGTTCTAAGAAGAGACGTATGCCTGCTCCGTCTTCTCAGCAGTCTCCAACACAGTTCCGAGTTCCACCTCCAAGTTCTTCTCAGTCTCCGATTGCATACACTGTCTCTACTCCGGCTCCTAATCCTGACTTGGCTTCCTTGAGTGCTCAGATTAGCCAGCTTCAGCATATACTGTCTACCTCCCAGCCATCTCCATCAGCCTCCATTGTTTCCTCTATTCATTCAGGTTTGCTTGGATCTCCTTCAGGTATCTCTTCGTCTGTCTGGCTTTTTTACTCTGGTGCCTCTCATCATATGACTCCTCATCTCTCTTTACTTCAGAATTGTACTCCTCCTTCCTCTCCTATTACTGTTAAAGCTGCTAATGGGTCTGGTATGTCAGTTATATCTGTTAGGTCTGTCCTATCGTCTGCTATGTCTGCAGTCTCTATTCCATCTGTTTTATATGTTCCTCAGTTATCTGTCAGTTTATTATCTATTAGTCAACTTGATGCCTTTGGTTTTGATGTTATCCTTTCTTCTTCTATTTGTTCTATACAGGATCGGATGTCCAAGCAGCAGATTGGGACTGGCCGTAGAGTTGGAGACCTCTATGTGGTGGAGAGCTTGCATCTGCCTATGACTACCGCTCCAACGGCCTTTTCTTCTTTTCAGTTAGATTCTCTGTCCAGTCCTTTCTATTTGTGGCATTCCAGATTAGGGCATTTGTCTGCTGACTGCTTACGGTCTATAGCTCAGTCAGGTATATTGGGCCAAGTTTCTCCTAGTCAACTTACCAAGTGTCGGGGGTGTAAACTTGTCAAAATGACAGCCTTACCTTTCCGTAACAGTACTTCTATATCTACTACACCGTTTTCTTTAGTTCATACCGATGTCTGGAGCCCTTCTCCTGTTCTCGCCAAGGGGGGTTCTGCATACTATGTGTCATTTGTTGATGATTGCACCCGTTACATTTGGGTTTATCTTATGACTCATAAGTTTGACTTCTATCAGATATATTGTACCTTTCAGTCTACGATTACTACACAGTTTGGGGCCATAATTAAAATACTCCGGTCTGACTTGGGTGGGGAATATTTTAAAACTGAATTCTGTGAGTATTTGGCCAAATTGGGCACCATTCACCAAACCTCTTGTACTGATACCCCTGCCCAAAATGGTCGAGCCGAGCGTAAACACCGTCATCTCCTTGAGACAACTAGGTCTCTTCTTATCTCTGCCTCAGTTCCGGCTCCATTCTGGGGGGAGGCAATTCTTACTGCTGCTTTTCTTCTCAACCGCATGCCTACTCCTATTCTTTCTGGTCGGTCTCCTTATGAGGCTTTGTTCTCCCAACTTCCTAACTACTCCCTCCTTCGTGTGTTTGGGTCTGCTTGTTTTGTCCTTCTTCCCCGAGAAGATAGGACCAAACTTAGTGCCCAGTTTGTCCTTTGTGTCTTTTTGGGTTATAGTCTTACTCAGAAAGGCTATCGGTGTTACGACCCAATTTCCCGTCGTCTTTATGTCTCCCGTCATGTTTCTTTTCTTGAACGTCTGCCTTACTTTCAGCTTCCTCCTGTCACTGCTCCAGTTTCCAAAGAGGATTTGGTTCACATTGACCCATTTCCTTCTGAGGTACCGTCTGATGAGTACATCTCCATAGTTCCTCTTGAGCTTGTTTCATCTTCTCCTCCTACTTCACCTCTGGCTGTTTCTCCTCCTTCAGTTTCTTCTCCTCCTCCGTTGTTAGTTTATTCTCGTCGTAAGGCTCCTCCTCTACCAGTTGTCTCCACCCCTACAGCTGATCCTCCTGCTTCTGACGACTCTAATCCTACTGCACACCGATATCCTCCTCGAGCACGTCATCCTCCAAACAGGTTGGGTTGGTCTAATACTTGTTTTTCTGCTTCCTATCGTACTTTTTTGTCTGCTATTCACTCTTTTGTAGAACCTTAGTCTTACAAGGAGGCCTGTCAAGATCCTCATTGGGTTCAAACTATGAGTTGTCTGCTTTACAGAAAACTAGTACTTGGGAGTTAGTTCCTTTACCTGCTGGTAAGAACCTGGTTGGTTGCAAATGGGTTTACAAAGTCAAGACTCATTCTGATGGTTCTCTTGAGCGTTACAAAGCTCGTCTGGTTGCCAAAGGTTTCTCTCAGAAGTATGGTATTGATTATGAGGAGACATTTGCTCCTGTTGCCAAAATGACTATTGTCCGTACTTTGATATCTGTTGTTGCTGTTCATTCTTGGCCTCTTTATCAGATGGATGTTCAGAATGCTTTTCTTAATAGACATCTCACTGAAGAGGTTTACATGCGTCCTCCCCCTGGCCTTCACCATCCCTCTGGAGAGGTTTGTCGTCTTCGGCGTGCTCTGTATGGTCTGAAACAGTCTCCTCGTGCTTGGTATGATCGATTTCAGATTGCTGTTACCGAGCTTGGGTTTCATCCTTCTGCTTCCGACTCTACTTTATTTCTACGACATACCCCGGTTGGTTTTGTTGCTCTCTTGCTCTATGTGGATGATATGATCATCACTGGCTCGAACTCTTCTGCTATCTCTGAGGTCAAGCAGCATCTCTTTCGCACCTTCGAAATGAAGGATCTGGGTCCATTACGGTATTTTCTTGGTATTGAGGTTGCTTCTTCTCCCAAGGGCTATTTTCTGTCTCAGGCTAAGTATGCTAATGAAGTCATTCATCATGCTGGTCTTACTGATACTAAGGTTTCTGATACACCTATTGAGCTTAATGTGAAGCTTAACTCTACTGATGGTGTTCCTCTGGATGATCCCACTTTATATCGCGAGCTTGTGAGTTGTTTAGTTTATTTGACTGTCACTCGTCCTGACCTTGCTTATGCTGTTCATGTGGTTAGTCAGTTTGTTTCTGCTCCTCGCTCTACCCATTGGGCTGCTTTGGTTCGTGTTCTTCGCTATCTCAGGGGTACTATTTTTCAGGGCTTATTATTATCCTCTACTTCCTCTTTGGACTTGGTGGCCTATGCTCTCTGATTGGGCTAATGATGTTACTGATCGTAAGTCTACGTCTGGTTTCTGTATGTTTCTTGGAGATTCCTTAATCTCATGAAAAAGCAAGAAACAATCAGTCGTTGCTCGCTCTACTGCCAAAGTTGAGTATCGTGCTATGGCTCATGCCACTGCTGAGATTGTTTGGCTTTGTTGTCTCTTGTCCGATTTGGGTGTCTCTCAATCTTCTCCGACCTCTCTCTATTGTGACAATCGCAGTGCTGTTCAGATTGCCCACAATACTGTCTTTCATGAGCGGACGAAACATATTGAGATTGATTGTCACTTTGTTCGCCAACATCTGCAGTCTGCCTCTATCTTGCTTCCTTTCATCCCTTCGGCTTTGCAACTTGCGGACTTCTTCACCAAGACTTACACTACTGCTCGATTTCAATTTCTTCTTAGCAAACTCTCAGTGTTTTCTGCTAAAACACCTTGAGTTTGAGCGGGGGTGTGAGAATATATTGTGTATTTTCTATTATTTTCCAAATTAGGCATGATTGTAGTTGTACAAATTAGAGTCCTATTAGAGGTATGATTGTGTTAGAGTCCTATTAGAGGCATAATTGTTTTCTCCCTTTTGATTTAAGATTTAGGACTATATAATCTAAGGTCTGATTGTAATCATTCACACATTGAATATATGAGATACAGAAAGCTGTTCAGAAATCTTACACGTGACATTAACATTCATCCATGTACATTCTCGTAGAATTGTTGCAGTTCAGATCCCCACCACTGCCTCCCCTCTGAGAGGGAGAGAGAGAGAGATCATTATTCTTTGTCCTCAAACAGTTAAACAGATCAGGAAACTAAAGCACATGTCATCTCAACTAAAATATCAACATATAACCATGTTGTAGAGGAATTTTGGCATGCGCACACACATGCAAACCAGTATAATAAGCCAAGAATCCTATAATATGTAGTTTACCTCTGCTCATCAATTCTTCCGAAGAAAAACCACAGGCATTAGCCTGGTGGCTAGAGCCTGTGTACCTTACTAGGAGGTCACAAGTTCAACTTCCACCTCCCCTCCAATGTACCACAATAATATTCTTCTAAAGAAAGGCAGGGCAGCCACCCAAAAAAAAAGGGGAAAGCAACTTCATTGTTCTTTTAAATTAACTAAGGACGATATATGTGCATTATTAAGCCAATTAGTATTCAGGCTCTAATTTATAGAAACAAGGTTCCTTCTAATATAGGTCGTTTGTATTCAGGCATGCTTAAATTAAACTCCAACTTCATAAAACCAGTGTTATTAAAGGTGATAGGCGCACCAAGGCGCCAAGGTCTCCTGGTGCCTAGGTTCAAGGCGCAAGGCGAGGTTGCAGGCTTCACCGAAGTGAGGCGCCCCTTGTACGAAAAAAAAAATATAATTTAATATAAGTAAATAATTTAGAGTTCAACAAAAATAAAATGAAATGTTAAACATTTAGTGTTTTTTAGAAATTAGGGATTAGGGTTAATTTTTTTTTCTATCATTGATTTGGGGTTAAAAGCCCAATGTATTGGCATCTGTAATAAGAGTAGGGATCTTCTCTAGTTACAACATATTAAATCAATGGTCAGATTTTAAACAACACCAATTAAAACAACAATAAAAAAAGCCCTCAAAACACAAGTCTTGGGCCAGTCAGGTGCTATCGAAGTCACCTGGCCTGGAACACTACAAGGTGCAAACCTTGGGCCTGGACAGAACATGGGCCTAAGCACACGCCTAGGAGCGCCTTATCGAAGTCGCCTAGCCTGCAACACTACAAGGCGCAAACCTTAGGCCTTGATGGGACTTGGGCCTAGGCGCGCCTTTAATAACACTGCATAAAACATCAAGGTTTTTATCTTATGATGTAGGAGAATTTTAGGAATACTGGACTTAACTAGGGAAAAGAGGAAAACTGGAATAATACTGCCCATAATTGATTTATAGCATCACAAAAATCTAGTAGGATTACAATTCAATGAAGTTAAAAAAATTATATATATATATATATATATTGTGGCTATGAAGGTAGAAAAGGGCTAGAATTGTCTTTATTTCCGAAGGGTGAGGCTGCCCTTATCATTGGCTTAGAATTTATGGTTGCTGGAAATTCTGGACAATAACTTTTTTGGTGATTCAAAAATTGTTAGGATTTATCATGCCTTGATAACCAAGGGCTGTTAGGTGACTTTGAAAAGTAACTCGTGAATAGTAACTTAGAAAGAGGAAAGAAGGTAAAAAGGATTTAGAAATCCCACCTAGGCCTTCTCTAAGAGATACCTCCAAATAAGGTTGCTTCAACTATCACACAAAACTCCAAAGCTTCTCACAAATGCCCAAAATCCAACTCAAAGAAGAATTCTTATACTTTAGTTAATCAGACTAAAATAGAAACCAAAGTATACATAAACATAGGCATAAATATTCAAGCCAATATAACATTTTCTAAATTCCTTGGATGAATTGTCCAACTGAGCCATAAAAAGGAAATAACAAGATCAATAACCAGCAGACAAAATAATGAACCTAATGATGCATGTCATGAACTTGTCTTCTCCTTCTTGTTGCTCCTACATCATCTTAGCTCCAGTTTAGTTCAATAGTAATTGAAAACCCTTATGTAGATAACATGATAATTCTACCATACCACTATACTCGAGGATAACATTTGGCGGATGTGTTTTTTTTTTTTTTTTTTTTTCAAAGTGATGCCATCATATGAGTATACTATAATTGTGCCAAGCGTGAGGCATTTACTTGATGCACAAATTTGACATTTAGGTTATGATGACAAGAAAGATACCAACTTAGAAAGACAAATGACTACTCAAGAAATAGTTGATGGACAGAATGAGATCGTTACCTAGTCACTACATGTTACTTTTGAGGGTTTTCTTTCTCTTGTTCCCCTTTTTGATAGGTAAGATGTTACTTTGAGGTTATTAAATGTTTAAGAGTCTAAAAATCTGTGATCCCATCTGTTTTTACTTGGTTCATTCAGAAACCAAACTCAGTACTAAGCTTCAAAGTCAACTTATTTAACAGATCAAAGAAGCACAACAAACTTTTAATTAGCCAAGCTGAAACTTCTGGAGTTCACTTATACAAAAAGTTCAATTTAAGTGAACAGACTCATAAGAATACTAGGAATTCATACAATCAATTGAGGGGAAAAAAGTTAGTAGTTACTGATGATAATCTCCAAACTTCTTAAAAGAGTAAAAACTGAAACTATAAAACATGAGGAAACATACTTCTGTGTTGACATAAAATTGATCTTCCAGCTTCCAACTTTTCCTGAACCCTGTTGTGTGGCAGTCCGAGCAGGAGAAAGGATTACAACCTGTCATGATGAAAGAAAGTGTTCTTCAGGAGCTCTGTTGACCACAAACATGAAAAAATAGAAGTATTTCTGACAATAAACATTTTTTAGAAATCGAGGAAAATAGAAAATACATAAAAATAGCATGCTTACTCTAAAATTCAAATATTAAACGCATTTTGAATTTTGAAACTAGAAATCAAACTCAAGGCCATCAAGAAATTGCTTATAAGTTATAACTATAAATACCAAAACATCAACAACTAGATAATAATTATCACCATAGGATAGGTCTTTTTTGCGTGTTGAACAATTACACAAGAAGGAAAATTTCACAAGTCACTTAGCAGCCTCAATAAGTTCCATTATGAAAATCTGAAGAACCAATCTATCACATTTTGACTTTTGTGCCAGTATTGCAGCTAATAATTCAACACCCATATAGAATGTGATTGGAATAAAAGTAAAATGTTGGTAAAGCATTCAATTACATCAAAAGAAAGGACCTTGATAGAGATGTCTGGATATGGACCAAAGAACTCATTATGATCAATTATTTTCAACTACGGCTGAGGTAAAGTGGAAAATTTTCTACACAATGCTGGAAATAAGCAATTAGTGAATATTATATACTAATATCACAATTTTTTTAGTTATACATTTGATATTGCTCATTTGAACTCCCCAACTGTCCAATTTAACAGACCATCCATCAGTTCAGCTGAAACCAAACTATACATGCAATCTCCAAAATCACATACCACTCTTCCTCACAACATATAAATGTTCAAATCAATACAAAATCGTAGCATCAAGTAGTTTACCTAAACCCTAAAAGATTAGATTCATGAGCCCTAAAAAGGGTAATTCATATCTACATAAGCAAAAAGACAGTGTAATTGCAAATCATCGTATATATAATACAATTATATCAAATTGTAGACGAAGAATTGAAGAAGCCTAGTAGTCATCGTACCCTCCTTCGAAGGTGTTCTTCGGGGATGCCAGAGACCTTCCCGATCTCCCCTGGTTTGATCTCAACCAAGGAGTCTGTAGAGAACGGTCTCGATAATGGAACCAAAGTGGATCCATATACACGACGAGCTGGATTCAAGATACGTTGCAGAGAGTTCGCCATTGTCGATGACCTTAAGGTTAGGACACCGTGGAGGAGAGAAATGTATACGATAATAGCCCTGGCAACACTGGCAGATGAAAATTATGAAATCAATTTTACTGTTTATTATAGTTTCACCCCTGTTGTTTTTTTTTAATTTTTTATTCAATCACCCCTCTTGGTTGTGAAAATGTTGAAACGGCACCAACTTTTTTACTTCAATTTTCAAGTGGATAAATTATTTGGTAACACTATAACAGCAAACCCAAGAGGTGTAGCACTTTGGTAAGATTTTGGAATATAAGTTCGGAGGTCTTGGGTTTCACTTTCGTTGGGGCTAATCACTCGGGATATAACATATATGGTTGGTAGGATAAACTTTTTAGACCTTGGTGAATGGTACCTAATATCAAGGGTGTGGGTTCGAATCTCTGTTGGTGTGCGAGTCCATGATTTATTGTTACATGGTTGAGCGTCCTGTTACTAGCAAACCACTTAAGAAATCTTTGTTCATGTGCAAGTCTGTAATTTATTGTTACATGGTTGAGCGTCCTACTACTAACAAACCAATTAAGAGGCGCCCTGCTACAAACAACTACTTAAGAATGATCTCTGAGGTCTCGACTCCTTATAAGGTTTAGCTCCAGAGATTATCCTCTGTGATTAGGTCTTTTTTGACACTATAATAGCAAATTGTAATATTTCAATTTTGTCAATGTTACAATTTTTTTAGGTTAAAGTATTCAAATTTTGTCCTTAAAAATTATTGGCTAGTCTTGGGACTCTACGTGGCTATATCCCACATTAATCACAATTTATTATGTCTTCTCATATTTCTCAATCATTCAATACAAATTCGTAAGTCTCACTCTTTCCACTAATCACAATACTATTGAAACACCATATGACATACCTTATACTAACCAATAATTTCTCCCTTCCAACCTGCCTAGTCCAACAATGTACATGTTTTTTTAGCATAACCACTTTATGTTAAATTTGAATATCCACGATTGCATTGAAATGGAAATGCAATCATTAATATTTTACATTGTTTTATTTATTGATCCCCACTATGCGTTACTGAGTTCTATCTATTTGAATGCCTTCTAATTATTTTTGTATGATGGTTGGTATTTCTAAACATAGTTTATTATTTTCATTAAATTTATATAAACTAGTAAAATAAAATACATGCACGACATTTTTAAAGAGACAAAATAGTCAAATTAAAAGTCAATACTCAAACATTTGTCATGATAAAATTTAGCATGATATTATCTTTTATGTTAAATTTGGCCTGATAAATGTAATAATATTTAATTTGACGTGATGAATAATATGTATTTAGGCCAAGTTTGGGTAGTTTGAAAAAATTCAAAAAGTTAAAAAGTTACTCAAAAAGTTAAAAAGTTAACACTATTTACCAAAAGTCAACAATTACGGCTGCACAACTCTCAGTTCTAATTTTTCCTTACAAACTAATTTTTATAATTTTTTATTACACATTTTTTCATAAAAAGTCAAAAAGTTAACCCAAATATCCATATTTTTTCCCTCAATTTTTTAGTCCAAAAAGACAAAAAGTACACTAAATCCAAACAACCCCTTACTATTGTGAACTTTTTGTGTGCATATCGTGCTAAATTTTATCAATGGCATGATGAATGAGAGATTATTATAAAAAAAGTTTTTCAATTCTGACAAAAGTCACAAAATTAATTTATTAGTTAATAGTGTTTGGAGAAGACTTTCATTTTTTTTTATGTACTAAAAAAATATTTAAATTTTAAATACATCATACACTTTAGCCAATATTTATTTATTTTTTTGAGTGATAGGGTTCGTGATTCATGCCAATCATGAAAATATTGTTAAAAAATTATGTTTATATATATTTGAAGATCAAAATGATAAATAAATAGAATTTTTTAGAGGACTGCATGTTAAAGGCTTGACCCAAAAATAAATGCTAAAATGTCGGGTGCATCACAATTTTGAAATTATGTGCCCCACTTTTCACATATTTAGGCCTAGTTTGGTATCCTGAGAAAAAGATAAAAAATTAAAAAATTATTAAAAAAATAAAAACGTTAACACTATTCACAATATTTTAATGGTACAAAACAAAAATAAAAATATTATCAGAACGGTACACATCAAAGGTCCAAAACAAAAAAATTATTTAAAAACATTTTTTTATATGATTGATGGAGACATGCATCACTACCACACACGTCCAAATAAACAAAATTGCTTTAGAACTCTAAAAGAGCACCTCTAAACTAGCATTAAATTGTCTTTTAGTGGCTTTTGTTTTGTCTTTTTCTATTTTTTTTTTTTTTTAATTGGGTGCCACCTCATTAGAGCCAGCTCTAGTTAGAGCTCTCAATCACTCTCCCCAAATAAAATAAAAATTAAAAACAAAATAAAGACAAAATTTCAACAACAATGATTCATCCCACTAAAAATATCACCACTAATAGCATTAATACATTAAAAAAGTAAAAAAAAAAAAAAAAAAAAACAACTCCAAGACCAAAACATCACATCATTAATAGCGGGACCCACTGCCACTTAATTAGTGGGAGCACTAATTAGTGCTCCCAAGCATTTTTCAAATTTCAAATATTGTACCAGACCACGGTGGAAAAGAATGGGAAAATATTTTTTTTTCCAACTTTTTCCTGTACACACAAATCCGTACTGAGATACACGAAGATTTATATGGGTAAAATTGTAATTTTGCTAATTTATACAATATTTTAATACACATTTTTTCATAAAAAATCAAAAAATTAACCCAAACAATCATATTTTTTCCCTCAACTTTTTAGTCCAAAAAATCAAAAAGTGCACTTAGGCCTCGTTTGGGATGCTTCTGTTTTAGGTCCAAAAAATCAAAAAGTGCACTTAGGCCTCGTTTGGGATGCTTCTGTTTTAGCCAAAAAGCCAAAAAGTTACCAAAAAAACCAAAAAGCCACCCTAAAAACCTATATACATCTAGCTGCACGTGAAGGCTGCCATTTATTGTGTAAAATGACCGTTTTGCCCCTCTTTCATTTTGTTTATCTCGTATTCACCCTTGCCTTTATGTCAAACATTGATGGGGATGTCAGCAGACCTACTCTCCTACAGGGTGTAGTAGTACGGCTGTGCAGCTACATCAAACGGTGAAGATGAAGATGACCCTTCGTTCAAGGCTGGATCATAGTAGCAGCTCTGATCTGAAGAGAAAGAGGAACCAAGAGACGACGATACTCCGCCAAGGCAAACGGAAAAGCAGTCCCTCCTCCGACGATCCCCCCAACTGCAGGTATGCTCTCGTTCGCTCTCTCTCTCTCGCTCTCTGTCTCTCTCTCTTCAGCCTCTCTTATTTCCATTTCGCTATGGCTTCCCAATCGTGGAATATGATCTGTTTGGTTTGTATGTACGTATGAACTCTCTCTCTCTCTCTCGCGCCCTCTCTGTCTGTGTGTATGTGTCTGTCGCTCTGTCTGACCATTGTCGTTTTCCAATTTGTCTTCAACATTCTAGTTGGGTAAATTTTTCCAGAAACTGCCCTATTATGTTGGGGGTTTTAGGGTTTCTTTCACGTACCGGAAATAGGCAATATTGCGGGTTGTCCGTTGGTGGGGGGTGTGGATCTCATAACCATGACTTCTCTGCTCTGGTTTTTGTATATGTGCACAGTCTGCCCTCTCTCCCTCTCGCTCTCTGTTTGTCTTTGTCGCTGTGTGTGTATCAACCGTTGCCTATTTCATACGCATTAACAAAAAATTACAACGCCTTTTTTGGGGGGATTAACAACAAAGTCCCCTAAATACGATGAAGTATTATGATTAATTTTTCCCTAACAAGAAAGCCCCCTAAATAGGACGAAGTAGTCTGTATTAATAGAACAAGTTGGAAGTATTCTGTCTGTCTCTGTGGTTATAATTGTGCAATACGTTGACATGAAATTTTCATTTATACTATTCCTATAAATTTGGTGAAATTAGCTACGAATGCCACCATTGTGATTCCTACGAACACATCACAATAACGTTGGTGAATAATTGGTCATTTTCTTTTTGTTTATGTGGCAGTCTGGTTGTTCGTGTTAATCTTTTGAGTAAGGTGGATTCAATCCCTATAATGAAAAAGGAGGGGGGAGAAAAAAAGAAAATCTGTCACTAGAAAACAACGAATCATACGAATTTCCACAACAAACTCATCTTCCATATGTCTCAGTGTTTAAACAATGTACTTCAGCAAAAGATTTTTAATCTGTTCAAGGTAATGTTGATTTGTATGTCTTTACAATTTTCACAAATGTTTAATTTGTTTCAAATTTTTAAACTGTTTAAAGATTTCTGTTTAAGGTCATCTGTTTAAGGTTTTTAGGTAATCTGTTTAAGGTTTTTAATCTGCTTAAAATTGTGTAATATGTTTGCATGCGTTTAAGATTTTTAATCTGTTTAAGGTTATCTGTTTAAGGTAAGGTCATGGAGCTGTATTTTAAATTCACAAAATAGTATAAAGGTCTTCATTTTTCTGCTTGACGCTTTCTTATTTTTCATTTTTCTGCTTCACGCTTGCCTCATAATGTTCATGGAAATGTGATACGATTGTTAAAAAGTGCTAAATAGATGGAACATAGACATGAATTCAGTACCTGTATAACTGTGAAGTTGGTGAGCATGATTTCCATGATCAGGATGTTTGTGTAACATCTATTCAAGTACTTTTTGTAGATCTTTATGCATATACATATGCATGAATATAGTCTATTTCTTTCTAATCTAATACACATGTACATACATATATATGTAAATGTCCATATATTTTAACATGTCATAACATTCTATTTCTTTCTAATCTAATACGCAAGTTTGTTGTTTCAAAAAAATCCATGAATGAGTTTGACATTCCGTTGAGTTGGTTCAAAGTCTTTAGTAATCGCCATGTTGGGTGATGCAAACCATTGTGCTGCTTGGTACATAGTTGCCTTAATTTATTGACCTGAAAATCGCGTTGGCTTTGCTTACCTACTGTATATCCTGACAAATATCAGTTGGCTTATTGTCCTTATGCCTTAATTAACATTGTCCTAAATACAATAAAACTGCTAATCCAATGATGACTTTGACTTTTAATGCTATCAATATATGGTTAATGCTGTGGTGGGATCTTACGTTATTATGTTGCCTTCATACCTACCTAGTTTTTTTAGACTACAAATTTTAATGTTGCCCAAATAGACGTCTCAATATATGGTTAATTATGGTTAATGCTGTGTCATGTGCTATTTTGGTATCAATATATGGTGATTATGTTGACTTTGACTTGTAATGCTATCAATATATGGTTAATGCTGTGGTGGGATCTTACGTTATTATGTTGCCTTCATACCTACCTAGTTTTTTTAGACTACAAATTTTAATGTTGCCCAAATAGACGGCTCAATATATGGTTAATTATGGTTAATGCTGTGTCATGTGCTATTTTGGTATCAATATATGGTGATTATGTTGACTTTGACTTGTAATGCTATCAATATATGGTTAATGCTGTGGTGGGATCTTACGTTATTATGTTGCCTTCATACCTACCTAGTTTTTTTAGACTACAAATTTTAATGTTGCCCAAATAGACGGCTCAATATATGGTTAATTATGGTTAATGCTGTGTCATGTGCTATTTTGGTTTGAGACACTTGAAGTACTGACACTTCAAAATAGATGTGTTTGTCTCAATGTATGGGGCACCAACATGCTAGGGATACATCTCTGTGTTTGACACGTCAGGTGGAATGACTTATTTGTTTTTTTTTAACTACACAGTTCACAGATACATGTGTCCTATGTTTAAACATGCCTGATATCATATTTGTGATCTTTTTTATATGATTTAGAAGATGCATTAAGATCAAACTAAAATATATAAAAACAAAGACAGGAAACTGAGAACGTCCAAATACACCCACATACATTAATGCCTTTTATATCAGTGTCTCGTAAATTAATATTTATATACATGAACCTGGAAATCTTAAAAAAAAAATTAATTAGATTTCTGTTGCTGTATTTCTGTCTTGTCTTGTCGGTATCCTAGTTGTTTACTAAATTCCCGTCTTTGCCTCTGCGCTTCTTAGCATTCAACCACTTGCACATAAATGACTAGGGAAGCAAACCTATTCAAAATGGAAGAATATATGTTCCCTTCTATAAATATAATGTTGTGTTTTGTTTACACAATACACTTATCCCATTCCATAAGTGTCACACCCGTTTACCTGTTTTGTTGTGCCTGTCATGTCATCGAATCACACATTCACAGAGTTCATGGCCTCGTTTATGTCTACTGCGACATCAACCCAACCAGGCCCTATGTGTGCTTGTGGGTACGGGCATTGTGTGGTCAAGATTTCTCGGTCCGCGAAAAATCCAGGACGTGCGTACTACCAATGCCCTCGTGGAGTGGTGAGTACAAGCACCTTCACCTTCTTTGGGATTATTACCTTGTCAGATCGTCACTAATAATTTCAAAACTTTTTTTAACCTCAGCCATGTGTCAATTGGATTGGGTGGTGTGACGAATATGGCCGACAAACGGCTGCTGAGAATGACAGAGACAATGGTCGTCGTTTTGAGGCGCGTTTGATTGACATTGAACAGAGTTTGCGTGTACTTAAAGTTGTCACATGTTTTTTGTCCATCATCGTCGCTATCTTGTTGTTCCGTATGTAATATATGTAACAGTGTGTAGATGGTTACTGTACTATGGTTTCTGTATGTGATATGTATCCGCGTGTTGCTTGTTACCGTACTATGCTTTCCTTATGTAATATGTTACTTATCCGTGTCATTTTACTATTGCATATGTGTTGGACAAACATAATAACATATGGTTAACACAACTACAAGTAATGCACACAACAAACTAATAAGTAATGCAAATTATAATGTTCTATAGTCGCATGGCTTCAACTCGATCCGGCTCTCGTACCCCTTCCGGGAAAGGGAAGGGCCCAAAACCTTATCACAAAGCCATTTGGGACTGGGAGAACACACGTATCTACTTGGAACTTGTTGTCAAGGAAATAGATGCAGGTAACAGGCCGCACATGTCAATAAATCTGAATGGGTACCGGTCCTTGGCAAAGACTTTTGAGGCAGCGACTGGGTTGACACATAGCATGAAACAACTGAAAAATAAGTACAACCAACTAAAGGCAGAGTGGCGTGCATGGTCGAAACTAATGGATAGCCGCAAAGGTCCCACTGGAATTGGGTTCGACCAAGAGACTGGCCTCATCAATGCGTCAGATGAATGGTGGGCTACAATGGAGAAGGTAACGACTTGAACTCATGTTTCATAATTTTGTGATGCTCACTTCGTGGTTACACTAGTTTTGGCATGACATGTCATGTGTTTTTTGTAAAACGTTTGTTTGATCTTCTTGAAAACTTCCCTCAGCATCTCAGTAATGTTGAAATGTATAATTGTCACGAGTTGATTTCACTTTTTACTTTATGGTTGCGTAGTCCGTCTCAGATTTCTACCTTAATTTTTCTTTCACAATTGGATCTATCATGTTGTGTTTTTCTGTTTCACTGTTTTCCCCATTTTCTGTTATTGATGTAATGAACTCCAACAATGTCTAATGAATGACGACAACATATGCTTTATATTTTTAAAAGCCTATACTGTAAGATCCTGGGAATGACAATAAGCTGTTACAATAAGCTGTCCAAAACATAATCTGTTACAATAAGCTGTCCAAAATAGTAAATATGTTACAATAAAAGCCTATCACTTGGCTATCATATAATAATCTGTCGAAAATAGTAATAATCTGTTACAATAAGCTGTCCCAGTAACATTTTCCTGGACAGATTACATGAACCCTTATCTATCCACTAGAACCCTCTTAAAAAAACCTTTGTTGGTATTATTGGTTCTTCTTCGGGGGGGAGGGGTTTAAGCCTTGTCTCATCTTGGTTTGTCTCATTTCTGGATTTGGTAAATGGGTTATCTGAGAATTCAAAATAGTATTGCTGGTTTTGGCACTTTTAAAAATTATGGGTTTTATTAATTTGTAGTTTTTGGGAGTTCAAACAGCTGGGTTTTTGGGAGTTCAACATTGTTCCTGGACAGATTATTGCAAAAATATACTGGACAGATTATATTCCTGGACAGGTTATATCAAAAAAAATGTCTGGACAGATTATCCCTGTCTGGACATAATCCCTGGCTGGACAGATTATAACAGATTGTATCAGATTTGATTAATATATTACCTATTAGCAATGTGTAATCATGGAATTGCCCAGACAGTTGGACAGATCTGTTTTGTAAGGACTATCAAGACAAATTTGTTATTATAATGGCTGATTAATACTTGCTGATTGTTGGTAGTTTAAAATTTTCTGTGATTCATAAGTTATTCATTTTGGTAATGGTGTACTCCCATTGTATTGTATTACAGGTTGACAAAGAGTGTTGCAAGTTTAGAACAAAGAGGTTGGAACACGAGGAATTAATGCGTCGTGTTTTCACGGGGGCTGCGGCAACAGGAAAAAATGCTTGGACGCCTGGTGAGATGCGGAACCAGCTGGAGGTGGAAGGGGAGTCGATAGTGCAGACTTCTCTACGGACAGCAACGAATTGGGTGCCTCTGAAACTGCAAACTTGATGAAATTTGCAAACATTACCGCATCCGGTAGTGGTAGCAAAAGGAGGCACTCATCTGTCACAGCCGTGCAGAAGAAACGAATCACCGGGGCAGAAGCATTGGCAACAAGCATGGATGATTTGGTGAATTCGGTGAAGACACAAAGTAAGGAACTCACTGTTAACCATGTTGTCGGTGGACAAAGTGTCGCTATGGCCGAAGCTATCCGACGTCTTTATGAAATTCAAGGACTTGAACAAACTAATCCACTGCTCCATTTCGGTATTTCCCTTATGGAGGTGCCCAATAATAGGGAGATGGTTATGAGTATTCCTTCCGATGAAGGCATTATCGGCTGGCTCCAGGTGAAGCAACAAAACAAAGAGAGGACGACAGCAGCTCCAACTCTTGCAAGCATATTGCGCAGTCAAGGACTTCGTTTCTAACTATGCTGTGTGTTGGACTTGTTATGGGTTACGTGTTGGACTTCTTTTCACTTATGCGTTGGACTTCGCTTATATTTGCTAAAGGGCTGCGTTTTAATGAAATGCTTTGTGTTGGACTTCTTTTCGAACTTGTTTGTTATGTATTTGCTAATGACATGATGTTTTCAACTATGCTTTGTAAGGACAATTGGTAGGGAGATGGTTATGCTATTCCTTTTCTTTGCCTAGTTTTCTAATTATGGATGTGCATTGGTTGGGTATTGGCCATGGTTGGATTTTACGATTTTAAATTTCAATAAACCATGAATTTGATTACACTCTTCCAATTTGCAGCTTCATAGTTATGTAAACAGTGGTTGTTATAAATCAGCTGTACTGGACCATTTCAACAAAAGCGTTGCTACTTGCAGAGAGACATGTCCAGTTTACTGAAGCCTTCAACTTAAAAATTGGAAGTTAGACCCGTTGTAAGGTACTAAAACAAGCAAAATAATTTAAGTTATTATTTTTGTATATTTTAATTTAACGTTGTGTTTTTGTATATCTCATTGCAATTTCTGTATTGCTTATTAGTCATAAAAGGGAAAAAAAATTTGCTTATACGTCAAGTGACTTCACGATTTCAACCGTGTCAACAGAACTACTTTAATACAATAGAAGGTCTCAGAAGAACTTATGCAAATGAAATAAATTGATTATTTATGCATAATACTCCTGTTATTGACAGCCTTAACAGTTTCATTTA